TTGCTGCACTGACTATAACCTCTAACACAAAAGTCCTGAAGAGCAATGGCGAGAGCAGAGATGCTTGCATTGTTCAGTCTTTAAATATGATGTTATTTGTAGGTGTTTTTGGTTTGTTTATTTGTTTTTGTAGATGCTCTTTATGAATTTGAGAATTATCTATTTATAGTTTATTGAGAGCTTTTATCATGGATAAAATCATGAGAGCTTGTATCATGGATTTAGTCAAATGTTGTTTCTGTGACTTCCATGTAGTTTTCCCTGTTTATTAATATATATTAACTTGTTTTAAGATGGTAAACCACCTTGCATTCCTGAGATAAAAGCTGCTTGATCATGGTGTATAATCTTACCCATATAGCTGTATTTGGTTTGCTAATAATTTTGTTGATAATTTCTGTGTCTGTATTCATAAAGGAAATTGATCTCAAATTTTCTTGTTGTATCTTTGTATGGCTTGGGTACCAGAGTAATACTGGGATTATAGAATGAGTTGGGAAAGTGTTTTTTTCTCTGATTGATGGAAAAAAATTGTGGAAGATTGATTTTTTTCCTTCTATAAATATTTCATAGAATTCACTAGTGAAGCCATTTGTACCTGGACTTTTCTTAGTGGCAAAACTTAATAATGAATTCATTTATTTTATTTTTTAAAATATTTATTTTTTAGTTGTAGTTGGGCACAATACCTTTATTTTATTTATGTATTTTTATGTGGTGGCTTAGGATTGAACCCAGGGCCCCACATGTATTAGGCGAGCACTCCATCACTGAGCCACAATCCTAGCCCTCATTTTTTTGTTTTTAATTATTATGTTTTTTTATCTGCTTGCTTTGGGTTGAGTTTGCCTGTCTTTTTCTAGTTTCTTAAAATACATTCTTAACTTAATGATTTGGTATGTTTCTTTTTTTCTGATATTGGCATTTAAAGCTATATATTTTCCTCCTAGCACTGCTTAGAGGTCAACAGTGTTGGTCTGAGGTTTTGTTTAAATACCTTGAGCTACCAAATCTTTCTTTTGTGTACAAAACCTCACAGCAAGCCAGGGATGAGTAGATACTTGAGGATGTATCTGATCTTTCCTGAGTGCACACACAACCTTGCACATGTGTATAGCCTTCTGAACTACCAGAGGTATCTGGAAGTTTATCCAAGCCCATTATGACTATTTGTTTTTCAGATCTCTTTGTGAAATTTCCAAATGTTTGTGCTTACTTCAATTAATATTATAGTCTCAAATAGCTGCAATATTGGGCAGTTTGACAGTTTGCCATTGAATTCATGATTGATTTTTACATACTGTAACACCTCTTAATAACATCACAGGCTGGGAACTAAGCCTTTAACACAGAAACCTTTGGTTGACACTTAAACAACAGCATTGTCTTTTGGGAACTCAAATTAATAAATTATCTACTTGAAGTTGTATCACAGTTCCCTGATGCTGGTAATTTTTTTTTTTTGAGTTTTTTAAGTCTCTCGTTGTTTCATTTAAAGTAGAATATCTTACTATATTTTTAGAGTTATTAATTGCATCTCCTTTGCTGTCTAATCTGCTGGTCATCCTATCCAGAGTATTTTTCATGTCTAGATAATTGATATTACCTATTTTTAATATCTTCTATATATTTAAATATTCTCAGTTTTCCTATGTCTTCTTAAATGTAGAAACTATAGTGATGATAACTTATATAATGCTCTTATCTGTGAATTATATGTGTGTCATTTTTGGTTTATATCTAATAATTGATTTTGTTCCTCATTATGAATGACAATTTTCTGCTGGTTTTGTCTTCTTGGTAATTGTGTTTGGATTCTATATATATTGTAAACCTTTATCATTTTGCTTGTTGGAAATTTTGGTATTTGTAGAAATAATAAGTTTTAATCAGAGATTTTCTTCCTTCTGGGATTTTCAAGTTTATTTGCTAACTTTTAAACTTTGAGGACTTAAAAGACTTATCAAAGAACCCATAAGCCTTCATTCTATGACTGATTTTGTCCCACTGCTGAGGTGATACCCTGCTGAATACTTTGTTGATTTTTCTTGCATTATGAGTTTTTCTATTCTGTTGGATGGGAGCATAGAATTTTACTAGTCCTGCATGAACTCCTGGGATTATTCTATCTTCTTGTGTTGAGTGGTTCTTTTCCCAGCAGTGGGTAATTCTTTCACATGCATGTGCCGATCAGTGCTTAGCTGAAGATTTGAGAAGAATCTACTATGTATTTGGAGTTCTCTCTTTGAAGCACTCTCTTTTATGCTGTTCTAACCTGTGAACTCTATTCTCTTCAGTCTTCCTGGATCCCAAGCTTTGTTTCTAAAGAAAGGGAATCAGCTAGCTTTATGTCCCCCATCCGTGTCCTATGACTTGGATCCTCTCTACAGGATAATTATCTTGCTCCACCTTGTCTTATGTTTAAAAACTGTTGTCATATATATACACACATATACATATATACACAAACACATACACTTTATTATTTTTTGGTGGTCTAGGGGATTAAACCCAGGGTCTCAAGAATGCTAGGTAAATGTACCATTGAGGCATACCCCCAGCCTTGTCCCATATGTTTTGTCCAGTTTTTAAATTATGTCAGTTGGGAGGGTAAATCTCATCTCTATTTCATTTTTGGAAGATGGAAATCCTGGAATTCATTCTTTCCCCAGGAGTCAAATTGATATTTTCTTTTTCTAGTATACTACAACCAAGTAGGATATATTCAAGTATACTGGGTTGGTTCAACATTCAAAAATCAACTGATGTATCCCCAGACTAGTGTATCCATGACAGAAGTCAGTTTTACTTTTGAACTTGGAAATTTGATTGATTTCTTACTGCTCTTTATAAAAATCATACTCTGCATATTCTGAGCCCTGTTGTACCTTTTTGTTTGGTCAAAAATTCATTTTAATGCTTCTATTCCAGCTTTATTCTTCTTCTCTTTCGCAAACATGCTACAAATCTTGCGTTTGAAATGCTTATGCCATTTCTCTGCTATGCCTTTCTTTAATGTCTAACTATTTTATATCTTCAGCTTATTTATTACTTCCATAGTAGGGATTTTCCTGATGAAACTATCTGAACCTTGACCTCCAATACAAGCTGTTCTGTTATCTGATCTCAAAGCATCCATAATTATCCTTTCTATTTCTTCTTTAGTTCTTATTCATCATTCTTATTATTAATTATTTATTGTGTGTCTTCACTAGAGTTTAAGCTCTTACTTTCCTACAACACAGTAGGCATACAATAAATTCTTGCTGAACACATGTAAAAGGTTTAATTAGATAATTTGTATGTTTTTGTCTATAATTTTATTCTTATAGGAAAAATATTAAAGAAATTGTACTGATTTGCCTTAATAAGACTTTTAGTTCTTGAGCATCATTTTTGTCATCTCTAAAATTAATATCAACATTGTCTCCAAATGCCACCTATTTGATTTTTCTAAAGCAAAAGAATCTCTTCTATTTACTATTGTAGAATTTCAATTTGGCTATAGGATAACACTGATCACTTGGTTATTTTTCCTTCCTCTTCTGTACTGTAAATTTCTTGTTGGTAATAACTATATGTTATATATTTCTCTTTTTTTAAAGAGAGAGAGAATTTTTTAATATTTATTTTTTAGTCTTCGGTGGACACAACATCTTTATTTTATTTTTATGTGGTGCTGAGGATCAAACCCAGCAACCTGCACATGCCAGGCGAGCGCGCTACGGCTTGAGCCACATCCCCAGGCCTGTTATATGTTTTTCTATTGTCCAGATATTTTAGTCAATATTTCTTCTAAGCATGCTTAAAATACCTTTAAAAATGATAATGTACTTTTATAGTGTGCTTTATAACTTAGGAGGTCTTTTTCCTTTGTTCTCTCATTTAGAGTAGTAGATATTCCTCTGGTACAAATGGTGAATATTATTACTATGTATTGTGTCCTTTAGTATATAATATTATTCTGACTAAAACATCAATAAGATGATCCATATTGATAAATAGTATAGAACCATAGCTATGGGCATTTATTGGCAAAACTTTAATTTCCTTCTCTTAATAACAGAATTATTTTATTTCTCTCTACCCTGACATAAGGCTTGGTGCCTGGAGCACAGCTGCTCTCCATTAAATATTTACCTTAAAAATAAAATTGGAAATCTGAGTTTTATCAGTCTATATGTTTCTTTTAAAAATTTCTTTGGTATGTCTAACTTCTGGAACAGCCCAATTCAAAATAAATTTGTAGTCACTGGCAATCAAATTTAAAAACTTCTCTTTTCCTAGTTGTTTCCTATCTTAGCTTTGATTCTTTTATACAAGTTGAACTTAACCTAGAATTAATATATCTATATTAGAAAGGAGCTTATAGTTTATCTAATATTCTTAATTGATTTTCATCTAATTCACCTTGTCTCTTTGCTTTATTACTTATATGCACATTCATACCTATACCTTCATTAGAAAATTTATAGTTGTTTTTGTATACTTGTTAGGTTGAGAAATATCTGGTATAATGTCCTCATAACTTTGTGATTTTATGGTTTTACATGGGATGACTTTTCTACACATGTCTTCTAATTATCTTTCTCTGGTTAAATGGAGAGCAGCAGTGACATACTCTGGTTGCCTATGTTATTTGCTAGAATTTATTATAGAAGAACCACTACATATAGGTCATTCATAGTTTCTTTTGCTAATATAAAAATAAATTGAGTTATGCACTCACTTTTCATGTTGAAATACAAAACTGAGCATAGATTAATTTTATACACAATAAAAGATCATTAGAGTCATTGGGAGAGCACATTTGATGAATTCCATCTGAAAGAGTATTATTTACTTAAATATAAAAAAATAGAAACATAATCTAAGTAAATGTTAGTAGCTACTCAATAAAAAAATATTTTAAAAAATGTTCTCTAAAGTTTAAGGATAGTATTTATAAATGAAAATGATCTGTGCTTTTCTTAATAAATATGTTTTAATTTATCTCAAAGTCTAGGAAATGGGAATTTCCTTTCTAAAAGATCAGCAATAATTATGAGTGAGGATTTTGGGAACATGGATAAAAGAAGACAGTCAGATTTCATTATTGAAAAACAGTCAATACAACAAATCTGGGGAGAAAATGGAAAAGAAGTTTCAAGTTTTCTGGAGAATGTGAATGAGCCAACACATAGACTTCTGTCAGAGAATTGTGACTCTTTTGTTCCTCAAAATATGATAAATTTATTAGACCTTGATCAACAAAGGGTAAAGAAAACCTTTGACAAATGTGGCTATGATAGTTTAGGGGATATTTGTTTGGTTACAAGTTCGGATGAAAACCATTCCATTGATGGAAACAGAAGCATTTTTACAGCTCCAGAGTCAACTTTTAGTAGTTCTACTTTAAATAAAACAAGTTATCCAGAAAAACATCAACCAAACAGGAACTATCAGGAAAAGCACAACAATAATGAAATAAATGACTTTGCTACATGTTTTGAGGATTGTTACCTGATCAGCTCTGAAAAGAAAGGTTGGTGTTGTATGTGGAAAATGTAAAAATCTATACTTCATCAGTTTTAATATACATATTTGTATATCTTAGGTATATGTCCACACACATACAGTGAGCCCTTCATATTTGTGGGTTCCCCATCTGAAGATTAAACCAAATGATTGACATCATTTAAAAATAAAATTGCATCTGAGCTGGATGTAGTAATGCTGCTGTAATCCCAGCAGCTCGGGAAGCCTAGGCAGGAGGATCACAAATTTAAAGCCTGCCTCAGTTATTTTGTGAGGCCCTAAGCAACATGGTGAGACCCTATCTCAAAATTTAAAAATGAAAAGGGCTGAGGATGTGGCTTAGTGGTTAAGCACCCCTGGGTTCAATCTCTGGTACCTAAATAAATAAATAAATAAATAAATAATTGTATCCAGATATAGATATTGTTTAGCATTTTACTTAAAGAATTCAATATTATAGCTATTTATATTGCATTTCCATTTTATTGGATGTTATAAGTAACCTAGAGATGATATAAAGTGTATAGGAGGATCTATGTAGCTTATATGCAAATACTAAACCACTATTATTGAAAACCATTATTATCTGAAAGACTTGAACATCCATGGGTTCAATATGTGCAGGAGTGGCAGAGGGAGATCCTGAACTGACTATACTGTATATATTTATATGTATGTTTCTGTGTTTGGAGAAATATGAAACCAGAAATATAATGATGATTAGGTGACATTGTAGACTTATGATCTCTCTGTGTGCCATGCTAATATGTTTTGTATTGAAAAATGATAATAGACTGTGTTAAATTTTTAACACACACTTTCATTTTTGAAGGAAAACTTAACAATGTTTACCAAGAGAAAACACCACAGAAAAATATCCAGGAATATCCAGTGAACTCTATGTAAGTTTTTAGGTAAATCTGGAGAATGTAAATTAGGATGTAGTATATAGAAGTTTGAACTAATGCAAAGTCAGGTAGGCATACTACTGTCAGAGAGTGAGCAACCTGGTTATAATGATGTGTTACTAGTAATCACATTCTTGATATTATCACCATAGTGGAAAGTATGGTGTACATATTTGCCAACTTCCAAAATACCTTCTTATCTGAATATTAGTTTTGATTTTGATTACATTTGAGAAATTGTCTTAAGTTCATAAGAAATTTGGGGCTGGGGTTATGGCTCAGCAGTAGAGTGGTAGAGCACGTGCGAGGCCCTGGGTTTGATTCTCAGCACCACATAAAAATAAATAAATAAAGATAGTTTCCAACTATAACTAAAAAAAAAATATTAAAAAAAGAAATTTCTATGGAGCAGAATGTCAGTTTGTGAATTTACATTAAGAAACTGAAGCATCACATATAGAAATGGTTACAAGCATGAAAGTCCTTATTTTTTCTTTTACCTTCCATAAGAAGATTGCTTGGTTGTTTGAGAGTCAGAACAGAGAGTAACAGAACTTACAGATCAGTGGCATATGCAAGCATCATCAATTTATGAAGCAATTTGTGATCTAGGAATAAAACATACCCCTTATTGTCAATATTTATCTCTCAGTGACTCCCTCTCCTCTCTGTGTTCAGGATTACTATCTCCTCCATTCCATTATTGTTTTATTTTTTCCTATATGAAAACAACAGTCTTCCCCAGATCTTGCTACTAGTGTACAAATGTTCTGCATTTAAGAAGTTAAAAGCTTTATGTATATCCGTGAAATTCTGATCCTGTGAAGACTTTATAACAAAAGAGACTAAACCTTAGAGATCAAATAAATTTTTCATGGTCACACACTCACACTAGACTTGGGATTCAAACAACTGTCTTATCTTACTTGATATTTTCAGCTACAGTTTTTCAGTGTTTAAAAACACTGGTGAAAACTCACATTAGACCTTGAATTTTAAATGTACTTATGAGAGTGACTTAGAAGATGTTTTCCAAACTTGGTTGCAGATCCAAATTTACTTGAGGGAGTGATTTTAAAACTACAGAGGGCAAAGTTTTACATATACTAATAAATAAATAATATGCTTGGCATGGAGTTTATGAATCTTTGTTTTAAAAATACCTCTTATATAATTCTAATTTGGAGCCAAGTTTTGAAACCATAATTTAGAACAACAACTTTCAGAGGAAGTAAAGTAAATTTTAATACTGTCTTTTTTATAACCCATAGGGGCAGTGTCCCTTTGCAAGAATTGTATTCTAAGCAATCCTGGGATTTAAGACTTGGTGAGGTAAAATGCATTGTTACATTATTTTTTTAATTTAGTCACTTTGTGTTCTATAATATTTTAACATTATGACTTACTTTGATTTAAGTTTAGCTTTTATTTATAAATTTCTTTTTAGCTATACTCTTTCTTATATCGGAAAATTATAGCTGAATCTAGAAATAAAAACACCTTTTTAAAAACTATAATGTTCTTCATTTGAAACAAATGAATCTCGATGCATTTTAAATACAATATAAAATATTTTCCAAGATAAAACCTCTTTAGAATTAAGTGTACAAAACATCTATAAGCCTTGGTTATGTAATGTTATAATCCCTGTTATGGTTTGAATGTCAGGTGTCCCCCAAAAACTCAAGTATGAGACAATGCAAGAACGTTTAGTGGAGAAATGATTCTGTTATGAGAGCCTTAACCCAGTTAGTGAATTAATCCCCTTATGGAGATTAACTGAGTGGAAACTGGAGGCGGGTAGGATGTGGCTGGAGGAGGTGGACCTTGGGGGACTGGGTTTAGGGTATATATTTTGTATCTGTAAGTGGAGCATCTCTGTCTGCTTTTTGATCATTATGTGAACTGCTTCCCTTTGCCATACTCTTCCACCATGATGTTCTGTCTTACTCCAAGCCCCAAGGAAAGGTGCCAACTGTCCATGGACTGAGACCTATAAGCTTTTTCCAAATAAACTTTTCCTGCCCTATAATTGTTCTTGTCAGGTCTTTTCGTCACAGCAGTAAAAAAAAAAAAAAAAAAAAGCTGCCTAAAACAATCCTTCTTCATAATAATTTTAGAGAGATTAAATAAATTGTTCACAAACACTTGATTCAGGATTCAAACTACTGTCTTATCTGATTTGATATTCTCAACTATATTGTTTTCTCTTTTTTCTCCATTAATATGTAATTGAATATTATGAATTCATTATCATACATTGACTATCTCCAGTGCACTGGGGATACAAAGGTTAAAAACAGTCTTTCTTTTAACAAAGATTACATTGTTATGCATTCAACTGCAAGGGACAGATATGGAAGGACATGGAACCTATCTTTAAGAAGCTTTTGTCCAGTAAATAGAGATAGAAAAATCTAATGCATTTAGATGAATTATTCTAATTGTAGTTCGTACAAAATCAGTGGTAGCCTACTGAAAGACACCACTAAGTTTTGTGGTTAGTCAGGAGGAAGATGTTATAGGTAAGAAAACTTCTGAGCAAAAACTCAATAAATTTGCTGAATGGAGGAAATGTCTGGAAAGAAGAAGCAATATAAATAGAACCAAAGATATGAGAGACTGTATCTTGCTTAAGAAACTTCAAGTACCTGTCTCATTCTAGTTACTGTTATTGCTAGTATTTGTAAATCATGAGGGGTCTGGAATGAGATAATTCTGGATAATTTAAAAGAGCAGATCATAAATGATCTGTATGATATTTAATAGTTTAATTTCCTATAAGTAGTAATGAGAGTGGTGTCTTTTATAAAAAAACATAAGACAATGTATAACATAATATATAGCTATATATATATATATATATATATATATATATATATATATATAAAATATTAAAACCAGAAAACATAAATGCAGCAAGAAGCCCATTTAAGAAGAAGAATAGAAGATAGAATTTCTGATCATGTCAAACATGAAATTTTGCTGGGCAAGCATTGTGATGTGAGGTGTCCTATCCTGGGAGAATAGGGCAAGTTCCTTGAATAACTTAGTTTCTTCTCAGTTGAAAAAGATCTTCTTTGTTATCCTTTGTGTACATATTTTAGAAATATTTTGAGTTGTAGATGGACAAAATACCTTTAGTTTGATATTTATTTTTATGTGGTGCTGAGGATTGAACCTAGTGTCTCACGTGTGTGAGACAAGCACTCTCCCACTGAGCTACAACCTCAGACCATTTATGAACATTTTTGAAGTGGATAATGGAGTTCATGCATGCCTTGAAGTCTGTATAGCTTTCCCAGTTGATCAAGTTTTCTATCACCACTCCTTTTTCTTGTTCTTCTTGCAAATTTGGGGCTTGAATGTTTCAAGAATTGAACAGAAAAGACTTTTTAAAAGATGAAATAGTTATAAGGTTCAATAAGTGGCTCTGTTCCACATATTTATTCAGGGCTTCAACTTTGTGGATACTTGTCTTTAACTAGTGTTCCCATGTTTGTAGAATATGTTGGTATCAGCAGAAGTAGGAAGGAAGTGGAGGACTGTTGAGTAGATTTTTATCGGCCTGGATTTGCAGTAGTGTATATTACTTCTGCCACTGACCAGAAATTAAACCACAAGTCCAAACCAACTTCAGGGGAGGCTAGGAAATGTGGTCTAGCTGTATATCTGAGAAGAAAGTGAATCAAATATGGGTAAATAACTAGGAAATGTCTCCTTTTTTCTGTCTATCTAAAGCTCTATATCCCACCAACAGAGAATATATAGAAATTATTTTAGTTAAATCTATGGTATATTTGCAAATATAATTAGCACAGTAAGCCATAAAGAAAATCTAAAAAAAAAATAGTGAAGGAGAGAATTGTAACTACATCCTGCAATCAAAAGAGAAAGTGATGAAAACCAAAACCAGTGTTATGTTCTACAGAAAATTCATACCTTTAAACTTTTTATTTTTTAGTAAATGACTGATAACCCAACTTAAGAAATCAGGAGAATAATAGAACAAATCCAAATAATACCTTAATGCCTTATCTTTTTCCAATTGAATTTACTATGATTGCCTGAAGGTTCCTTTTTGTCAGTAATTTATTTCCTAGAAAGTGGCTATTCTGTTACCTGTTGCTTCTAAACCAATTTAAGTTTCATTTTATTCACTATAGGCTAATTGTGTGTGTGTGGGGGGAGAGAACTTCATTGAATTAAAGTACTATAAAACAAATCAGTGGCATTTATTGGGTAGATATAAGTGGAAATTATCATGCATACTTGGGAATTGTTAAAATTTTGATTTTCTCCTAGATTGTGATGGAAGAAGGAAGAACATGTTCTTTAAAAGGAAGGCCAACATCCACAAAGAAAATCTGTCAGTATGACTGTATAAGTTAATTTTATTCTCTTTAAAACTAACAACTAGAAATCAGTTAAATTAAAAAAAATTTTAAAGATTTTCAGTAGCCAATAAATATTTCATAGGTATCTTAGAAAATACTAGTAATGCAATCAACGCTTTAAAATAAGTTTTTTATAAAAATACATTATGAATATACATAATGTAAATGGACAGTTTAACAAATAGTAAAATAAATATCCTCAAACTCAACCATGTACCTTTAAAAATAATATATAAATACTGTACTTTTGAAAATATTCTCAATTGCATTTCCTATCCTGCCCCCTAGAGGTAACTATTTTCCTGAATTTGTTTCTTGGGATGGTATCACACAGACATTTCTGTTGCTTGATTTTAAACTTTTTACATATTGAAAAACTTCTATGTATTTTCCTGCAACTTTCTTTTTTAACTTAGTATTATGTTTTCAGGCTCATTTACTTTTACATTTTATTATTATTTTTATTGTTATGCAGCATTCTGTTTTGTGAATGTGCCACAGTTTATTTATGCATCTTTCGACAATGGATATTTATTTAGTTTTCAATATTTTGCTTTTTGCTATTTATGCCATTCTTGACATTTCTTCTAGCACACATGCATATAAAATTACTCTAGGGTATATTACTAGGAGTAGAATTGCCAATTTAATGCAAAATTATTTTCTAAAGTGTGCCTATTTTACCTACAGCTAACAAAGGGTAAGAATCTTAGTCACATATTTTAACCAACACTATGTCAGTCTTTTGTAATTGTTGGTAATTTGATATTTATATTTTAACATATTTTTCTGATTACTTATTAGGTTAATTGGTTATCTGTGTTTCGTTTGTGAAGTGTATTTCATGTCTTTAGCTCTTGTTTCATTTAAGAAGTTTGGTTTTACTTATGAGATATCTTTTATCAATAGATCTGTATCTTTTGTAAATCTCTTTTGAATCTTGAATACTAATTATTTATAGGCTTACATGTAACAGATACTTCATATTTGAGTAGTTTTTTCATTCTTTACTGATATGATAGATTAAAGTTTCATATTTTCCTGACACTTCTTAGGTATTCTGTGCTAGAATGGCTCTTTAGGTTATCTAGTCTGCTAGGTACTTAGAAACCTTTGTGGATGTAAAACATTAGTCTGGCTTTTTTAGTTCTTTATTTCCTTGCTTCCTTCAGCATATGGGTATTCTTTGATGTTTTATGGTTTATCCTTGCAATCTGTAAGATTTCCCTCCCCGAAATAAAGCCTAAAACATATAAAAAACATGCATGCCCACAAAATTTAGTTCTCTTCCTTTATTGCTCTGAGTGTAATACATGCAATTATGTAAAAGAATTAAGTGAATCCTATAGATTCTCCCATGTTAGTACCATATATTTATCATCCTTTTATGACTTGCTAGTCATTCATTCAGTACATTTACTGCAGTTGATTTAATTGGTATCCTATTGATGCACATTTGGGTGGTTTCTTACAAATGTAACTAAAGAACTTGGTGCATATTTTTTTATTTGTGGAGGTGTGTTTTGGTGGTAATTACTAGGGATGGGATTCAACAGTAAAAACAAGATGCACTGTTATTTGATATATATTGCTGAATCTCCATTTTGATGTTATCAAATTTCCTACTTGCAGCATTTAGCCAATTATAACAGTAAGTTCGAGTTATCCCATAGGCTCTTCAACAGATATTGTGGTCAAATCTAGGATTTTTTGTAATTTTGAGTTATTTGAGATGAATAGATAGGTTTTAGTTTGTATTTAATTTCTGTCTGTGAAGCTGAATATTCTTTTAAATATTTTCAGTGGCTGTTTATGTTCTTTTTTTTCTTTTCTTTTTTTTGGTTTTTGGTCTACTTGGCATTCATGTCTTTTGACCAGTTGCGTTCTTGGCCTTTTTTCTTGATACTTAAGAACTAGCTCTTCATATGTTAAAGAGGTTTACATTTTGTAATATAAGTAATAAATATTTTCTTCTAGTTTAATATATTAGCTTTTCATATATTTTGATTTTACTATACTTATGTTGTCTCTTGCTTTGTTTAACAATATTTTACTATTTCTGGATTGCATTAGAAGTTCTCCACACTCCTGGGTTATAAATGAATTCACCATATTTTCTTGTAGCTTTAGTATTGTTTTGTACTTTACATTTATATCTTTAATTTATTTGGATATTTTCCTGATTTAAAGTATGGGACAAGATATCATTCAAGTTCTAAAAATGCATCTTTCCCTAGGTGTTTATGACATTGCCTTTTTAATATACTAACTACATATTATCTGATACGTTTGGAGGTTTTCTTAACTGTTCAATTGGTCTTTCCTTATTTTCATGTGCCAATACTATACTTTTAAACTTAAGATAGTTTTATAGTGTGTTTAATTTCTGGAAATGTTTTATATCTCTGCACTTTTTAAAAAGTCTTTCTTGGCCAGTCTAAATTATTTTTTCATATAAGCTTTAAAATTAATCTAACTCCAAAAGAAACATTTTAATTTTTATTAGGAAACTGTTAAATGTGTATCTTAGTGTGAATTGTTATTGTACTGAATATAATATATCATAGCCCTAAGAATAAGGGTATCTTTCCATCAATTCAATCTAAATTTATAGTTGTAGTTACCTAACATATCTTTAAGCACTTTCTTAAATTTTTTTCAAATAGATTTTGCATGTTTCTTATTTCACTTATTCATAGGTACTTTTTGGTATTTTTGTTGCTACTTTAGTATGAATATATTTCCTATATTTCTACACTGAGATTCTGGATTGTGGGCTTGTGTGAATTTGTATTGATTATTTTTTCAAGAATTTGACACCTTCCAATAGTTATGAGATATTATCCACTTGTGATTTTGGGAAATTAGTGGTTTGGGTTAAGAGTGATTCTTAGTGTCTGTGGGAATGATTATTATTTTTTATTCTTAGAGTTTTAAGCTTATTGTGGCCAAAACCACATAATGTGAAATTTACCCTTCCAATAGTCTTTATGTGTGTAGAGCTTTATCATCAAACACATGCCACTGTATCTACCCAGTAAAAACTGCCTATCTCTCACTTCCCCTGGCCCCTGGCAATCCCCCTTTTACTTTCTGTTTTTATCAGTTTGATTATTTTAGATACTCAAATGAGTGGAATCATGAAGTATTTATCTTTTTTGTGACTGACTTGTTTCACTTGAAATAATGACTTAAGTTTCATCCATATTGTAACATGTACTAACAAGATTACCTTCTTTCTTAATGCTGCATAATATGCCACTTGTATGTGTATAACACTTTTGTTTTAGCCATTCATCCATTGCTGAGGTTGCTTCCAGCTCTTGGCTATTGTGATTAATATTGCAATCAATATGAGAGTAGAAATCTCTCTTTTAGACCCTATAATAGGTTTTCAGTTCTTTTGGCCATGCACCCATAAGTAGGATTACAAGATTCATGTGGTGATTCCAATTTTAATTTTTTTGAGGCATCTCTGTACTATTTTCCATAGTAGCTTCCCCATTTATTTTCTTACCAAACATGCAGGACAGTAATTATTCTACTTCATCATCAATACTTATTCTAGTTTTTTTTTTTAAATGATAGTGGCCTTCCAATAGGTGTGACATGTTATCCAGTTGTGATACAGCTCTTTTACAAAGGTGAATCTTATTAAAGGATTTTGCAACTTGGACTGTCTTTGCATTCTTATAATCTTGCCAAGTGATGATGTTTTATAATATTGATTATTTTTTAAAAAATAGTTTAATATTTTATTTGTTATTAGATTTTTGCATCAATATTCATAAATGAGATTTTCTATATATAGAGAGAGGGAGACAGTGTGTGTGTGTGTGTGTGTGTGTGTGTAGTCTTTGTCAGATTTTGAGATTGTACAGATCCAGAAACAATTTAAAAGCTACATACTTGCCCAAATTGAGGCTAGCTGAAAACTTTCTTGATATTTAAATCTCTTGCCCTTTCCCCATCCCAATTTCACTACTTCATTACAAATTACTTTATGATGTTTGGTTTGGTAGGTAGGGCGTCATATACTACTTCCTAGGCCCAGTTTTAAACTTTGTTTGCAATCATAAGATAACATATTAAGCAAAAATGAAAAAATATAATATTGGTGCTTTGGATAGATTTTTTTTTCATACAGTTTTGATTGCACAGTAAAGTTTCATTGACTAGATTAGCAAATATCTGATACCTTGGGACTCAATTTATGTCTGCTTCCTACAGTTGACACTTTAAATTATTTGTTCATAAAAAATGGCACATATATTGGAAAACATCAATCCTAATTTTCTCATTTCTGCTTTCCTCTCTTATGTACCCCTATTACTTGTAGATAACCATTGTTTTAAGAGTAAAATAAACCCATAAATCCTGTTATAAATGCAAGGTGCCAAGTAGCCTAAATTTTAACTAAATTTAGCACATTTTAAAGTGCTGTTTGTTAGGTTAGCTAATCTTTGCACACAGATATCTTCTGCCTTTGGATATTTTATACAGCAATAGTGAATATCATTCTTCATGAATTAAACCTTTATTTTCAGGTCTTGATTCTTCACAGAGTAGTCAGTCTGCCAGTTACTCTCCAAGGCCAACGGATAGTTGTTTAAGTTCTAGTTCAGAGATGGTAAGTTATGCCTTTTTACTTATAAATTTTATATTCATTTAGATTTTTTATACTGGAGATTGAACCCAGAGGCACTTATCCACTGAGCCACATCCCCAAATCTTTTTTTGTATTTTATTTGGAAACAGGGTCTCACTGAGTTGCCTAGCGCTGTGCTAGGTTGCTGAAGCTGGCTTTGAACTTGAGATCCTCCTTCCTCAGCCTTCCAAGCCATTGGGATTACAGGCATGCACCACTGTGCCCAGCTAGAATTATTTTTGTCAGTTTACTTTTACATTATGAAAAACAGTTGAACCAATACAGAGTGGAAATAAAAAATAATATAAATGAAAATGTAAAAAAGTAAACAATATAAGAAATATTGTAAAACGTGAAAGCATAAGAAAGTGTACACAAAAATGTAAAATAAAATAATAAGAAAATGTAAACAGTTAGGTGTGATAGCTTATGCTCATAATCTCAACATTTTGGGAGACATGAGGCAGGAGGATCATAAGTTCAACTTGTCTTAGCAACTTAGGCCCTAAGCAACTTGGCAAGACCTTGTTTTGATAAAAAAAATAAAAAGGGATGGAGATATAGATCAGTGGTGAAGTGCCCCTGAGTTCAATTCCCCAGTACCAAATAAAAAAAAAAGAAAAAAAATTACATAAAAATATATTATTTGTAAAATTGTCTTAACAAGATGTATATAATTTGAAGCATAAAACAACCAAGTGTACCTTCAAAAAATAAAAGTCTCAAGGCTTATATAAGAAGAAATTGGATAACAGTGTTGGAGACTAAAATATGAATAATTTGAAAGACATTTCTGAGTGAGAATCTACACTTCTGACAAATCACTTTTAGAAGGGAATTCTTACCTTCACTCTTTTATCTTCATTCCTTGTTGCCTTTAGTATCTAATTTGCCGTCTTGCTAAGCATACCAGTGACTTCTGTGTTGTCAGATTGACTGGATGCTTTTCAGTCTTTATCTTATGAGATACTGATAGAAATTATTATTTAATTTCTTTGAAATATTTTTCTTCTTTGCTTTTATTTTAACACACTATCTTTGTTTTCTTAATATCTCTATGAATGCTTTTTTATGCCTTTTTTTCACTTGTCTTTTTCCCTATATAAATGTTGTAATGTTTAGGGTTTCATACAAGATCCTGTTCTGTAAACCTATAATCTAAACCTTTAGTGATTTTATACATTCTAATGACTTTTATACTATCTGGGTGATGTCAGTTCCTAGTTTTATGACTTTAGCCCTGGTTCTTATTTAGATGTTCAAATTTCTATTGGACACATCTTGGATATTTCACAAAGATCTTTTTCATACCTCAAACTTAAAACATAATTTTTCACCCAAATCAGTTTTTTTTATATTTCTGTATCAATAAATATTTTTTGTATTTGCCCAAGTGTTCATATCAGAAGCCTACTATAATAGTTAATGTTGTCATTTCTTTCTTTCTCAAATCTGCCTCCCTCAATTATCTTTATTTCATTACTTTGTGCAATCAATTCTACCTCCAAAATAAATTGTGAATTTATCTACTTTCAACAAGCACCAGTGCCCTATTCTAAGTTACCATCATCTTGTTCTTGAACTGTTCTGGCTGTTTCAAAGAGATGTCTTTACTTTCACTCTTCCCCCAGTGTCTTCTCTAGTTAGCAGATATCATAATAAAAAAAATAATAAGTTGGCCAGGCACAGTGGCACAAACCTGTAATCCCAGTGGTTCAGGAGGCTAAGGCTAGAGGATTATTGGTTCAAATCCAGATTCAACAGTTTAGTGAGGCTCTAAGCAACTTAGAACCTATCTCAAAATAAAAAATAAAAAGTCCTCAGTGGTTAAACATCCTGGGTTCACTCTTTGGTACCAAATAAATAAATAAAGTAAGTTGAATCATGTTATTCTGATGTGTAATAATTCAATGGATTTCTATTTTCCGATAGAATCTGAACTTACAGTGGCTACTTGGCCACCATTTCCTGTTTCTTCCAGTATTCTTCCTTTCTTCTTTTTCTTCCACACGTATTGACCCTTCATTTTCCTTAGTTTGTCATTCTCCTTTCGGCTTCAGGGCAGGAATTTATTTCTTTTTTCTCAGTCTTATTCTTTTTTATCCTTTAAGTCTTATGTTAAATATGTCACTTATTTAAAAAGTCCTCCCCTGGCTCCCCAGTATAAATATGGCTTCTCCCTTAGTGATGCTCTGAAAGTGCCTCATACTTGTTCCTCATAATGCTTTTCTCAATCTATAGTTATGTGTTTATGTGTCTGATTATTTTGCTAATTTTATTTTTACTCATTATGTGAATTCCAAGAGAACAGCAACCATTTTGTTTCACTCATATTGCAGATGCCTTTTAGTAAGTGAATGTTTCTTTCTTAACTAAATACATGCATTGAGCTTTTGTTTTCCAATTTGTGCTCAGTTTTAATGCTCTGTCTTGGGCTTACTTTAGTTTTTTCATTATTATTTTTGCCACTTTTTTTAGTTTGAATGATTAGTACTTTTAAATATTCATAAAAAGTATGATTTTGTTCTTAATAAATACATTTTTCATGAAGTTGAAAAATTCAGGCTTAGCAAATTTAAATCTAGGCCTATTAAAAGTTATTACAGTTTGTATTTTTAGATAAAACATTTATTCCTGTTAAACTTTTATTTTTTAAAATATTTTTTTAGTTGTAGATGGACACAGTATCTTTATTTTATTTATTTATTTTTATGTGGTGCTATGGATTGAACCCAGTGCCTCATGCATGAGAGGCAAGCGCTCAACCACTAAGGTACAATCCTAGCCCCTAAATATTTTTGATATTCTGTTAGCTGATACTCTCCTTATATTATCTTCTTAAGATATATCTTTCATGGGATGGACCCATAAAATGTATGTAATGAGTATGTTTTCCTTAATGAATTGGTGAGTAAATAATAAAAAAGTTTCAACCGTTCCCTTCAAAGGTATCACTTTGGCAGTCTTTTGAAGTGATTGAATAGTGAATTGCCCATCATTTCTTCAGTGTTAGAGATTGATGGAATGATGCATTCCGTGATTATAAGTACTGAGAAGACATAAGATTCCTCTTGTTTTTTTTTCCATTTTTATTATTTAAAAATCCACAGCCTGCTGAGTGAGATGTATGGTAGATTCAAGACACTTTGATAATATATATGCTTTGCTTAGTAACCTGTCAGTCTCTCCTGTATTTAGAAATTTCCTATAATGTGAATTTTAAGAATGTTTACTTGGAAGTAATTGAACAATTTTATTAGGCATTTTATTTAAGCGTTATTTACAGCAAAATTATTTAATTTCTTTTAGCCATCAGAAGATGAAGATCAAATGTTACAGCAAATTGAAGACTCAAATAAGATATGTGTCAAAACTACTGAAACAACCAATGATTTTCATCTAGAAAGGATGTCAAAAGTTTCAGGTGATAGGATTGGTAAAGATAATGCCAAAATTCACAAACAAACTGAAAATTTCTACCCATTCTCAGTGAAAAATAATACAGATCAATCTCCTCAGTTGCAGTGCAATTCAGCACATGTGTTGCAAAACATAATCAATAATAACTGCATTCTGCCAGTTGTAAGATGTGATGCAGGGGTACAAACAGAGAGAGAACCTGCAATGGAAGAAAAATTTGATGCTGCCGTACAGTGTAATATAATTTCACTGTGTACATGTAGAAGTGATGTGTCTCCTCTTTGCCATATAGAAATACAGTGAAAATATTAAGGCATATACCACTGGAGGGCAGGAAATCCTTAAGAAAAACTAGTATTCTAAAATCTCAGTCTAGGATGTAACATTTCAGTTGACCTTGGAAGGCAATAATAAATGTTCAGAATTTAATTAACATAATAAGGAATGAGAAAATGTAACTAAGCATTAGGCTAAAGTATTTAGAAAGTCTATTCATGATTCTAAGACGTTTTAATATTTTATGCACTTAATTTTTTGTATAGGCATTTCTTTGATGGCTTTAGTGTATCATCAAGGTTTTATAAAATAGTCTTATAAATATATTATCATTTTCATGTTTATTATTCTTTATATTATGATATGCTGTTATTCCTGGATTAAAAATGCTTAGCTTTCTTCCTTGTGGCATTTACTTTAAAATTAGGTGCAGTTGTATCTTGCAGGAAAAATATTTTCTTCCAAGACTTTAGGGCAGAAAATAATAGTACCTAATGTGTTCTATGTCTTCATCATAAGAATTTTGTTAACTACTTCTCTTTAATGTTATACTCCACTTAAAATTCTAGATTTTTTTTTAACTCTGGTTTCATTTGTGTGTGTGTATGAGACTGCTGGGGAGCAAACTCAGATCCTCAAAAATACTTGGCAAGTGCTCTACCACCAGTACCCACCAGCCTATGGATTAATTTTTAGACAAAATATGACTTCTTTTTTGTTTGGATAACATTTGTTGTTAGTGCTTATATCAACTCAGAGGAAGATGTTTTCCTCCTTAAGGTTAAAAAATATTTTAATGCTTTTATAGAAAAAAAGTTTTAAAATTGGAAAAATTTATGTTTCTTTTTTTAATGTTGCCAAGCTTCTTTAACAAATATTACATCAAAATTTCTTAGTCTTTTAAAATATAGGCTTTGATTCTAGCACATTTATCTTATACCACAATTTTAAATGTTTGTACTTTAAAATTAACATTTGTTTGGATATGCAGATGCTCGGAGACTTATTAGTGGGGTTACATCCTGGTAAACTGATTGTAATTGAAGATATTTTAAGTTGAAAATGCATTTAGCTTACCTAACTTACCAAGCATCATAGCTTAGCAATATACTACATTATATAAACTATTGGTTTTCCCACATGATAGAGTGGCCGACAGAGTGTTTGCAACTTGTCACCAACACTGTGAACTATTATACTACAAATAGCTAAACCAGGAAAAGATCAAAATTCCATTATGGATTTATTTCCTGAGAACTATTTTGCAAAAATATAACATATTGTGTAGGAAAGACTAATTATGTGGAATAAGAAGACTATACTGGGCTGGGGATGTGGCTCAAGTGGTAGCGCGCTCGCCTGGCATGCGTGCGGCCCGGGTTCGATCCTCAGCACCACATACAAACAAAGATGTTGTGTCCGCCGAAAACTAAAAAATAAATATTAAAAAAAAATTCTCTCTCTCTCTCTCTCTCCACTCTCTCTTTAAAAAAAAAAAAAAAAAAAAAAAAGAAGACTATACTGACAACTTTGAAATAATATTAAGCTGTGAGCCTTACCTTGGTTTCAACTGTTAAATAAACCAATGTTTTCCAAATATGAATCAAATTTTGTCAATATAGAAAGCAAATTAACTACAAAAGTCTACACTAGTTCAGTTTTTATCAATATCATAATGTAATAGTTAAGCTCAGTAATGTATGAATTTTGGAGCTTTTAAAAGGCAATGATCACTCCCAGTGAGAGCAGGGAAGTCGCAGGGTAGTACAGAAATTAATCTTGTCCAAAAAAAGGTTTGGCCTTCATTTCTGGGAGTGTCATTCTGTATTTTTGGTACCAGGGATTGAACCTAGGGGTGCTTAACCACTGAGCCACGTCCCCAGCCCTTTATTTTTTATTTTGAGACAGGGTCTCGCTAAGCTGCTTAGGGCCTCACTAAGTTGCTGATGCTGGCTTTGAACTCACAATCCTCTGTTAGCCTCCTAAACTGCTGAGATTATAGGCATGTTATTCTAAACGAGTCTTCTTATTAACCTGAGAACCTTGGGAAAAGCCACATTGTAACAGTGTGAATTAAGATGAAGCTTTTGATTCAATCAGTATCAGCTTGACTTCCTTTGGGACTGGAGAATGAGATCAATCATTTAGGCAGTCACCATGCCATTGTGTTGGAGCCCTAGTAAAGACTCAGGACACCATAGCTCAGGCAAACTTCCCTGATTAGCAGTACTCCATGTATATTGTCATATCTTTGTAGGAAAGTAATGTTATCTATGATTTTGTGAGAGAACTATTAGAAGCTCTATGTTTGTTATTTTCCTAGACTATGTCTGTGAGATTCTTCTGGCTGATTTTAATCTGTATTCTTTCTCTGTAATAAACCACAACTGTGAATACAACATCTTTCAAAGAGTTCTTTGAGTCCTAGTGAATTATTAAATTTGAGTGTGGTCTAGTGACACCCAAACAAGTGATCTTTGTATTCTCTAAGACTGGAGAAACATTGTTCTTCCCTAGTTGATCTGAAGGATAAAGCTTCAGTTACTCACAGTGATAATTTGCTTAATAAACCCTTTATTACTTTTCTTCCTTTTTCACGTCTCACTTCCATGCCATGTTTTTTTTTTTTTTTTGAGATTATACACCAAAGGGTATTTACTTGAATCCTTGCCTCATAATTTGCTTTTGGAGCAAGTCAAAAGATTGGCAGGAACCATAGCAAGTAGATAAATGAATTGTATGTATAGTTTAAATCAAATGTTAATATTCCTATTTTTTTTGTCTCAGATTTCCATTTCTGCTAATTACTGAAAACTTAATACATTGGTCTAGTGGCATATTAGATACAGACAAAGAAAGCATTTGTGAAGTTAAATATACATAAAATTCCCATAATTCAGAAGATTTTTAGTATCAGGTATGAGAGAATAAGTTAACAATAAGGAGGACAGAGAAGACACTTCAAAAATGCTTAATTGAACTACCAGCAGTATGGGAAAGAATGGGAAAGCAGCATAATATGAAGAGATAATGGCTGTTTTCCAGAAGTGATCAATCATACTAATACACAGATTCAAAAAAGCTGGTGATTTCCCAGTAGAAAAAAAAAGAAATACATATTTTAGGCTCAATATAATAGTTAAGACTCAAAAGCAAAGGAAGATCATGAAAGCAGCTGAGGAGAAAAAAAAACTGCCTTCTTAGGGCAGCTATAATGTCAGATGGATTTTTAATTAAATTTTTATTCTAATTTGTTATACATAATGGCAGAATGCAATTCATTTCATATTACATATATAGAGCACATTTTTTCAAGTCACTGATTGTACACAAGTATTTTCACACCATTTGTGTCTTCATACATGTACTTAGGATAATGATGTCTAACTCATTTCACCGTCTTTCCTACCTCCTTTCCCCCTGCTTTTCCCTCTCTCCCCTTTGCCCAATCTAAAGTTTCTCCATTCCTTCCATGCCCCCACTATTGCCATTATGAGTCTGCATCCTCATATCAAAGAAAACATTTGGCCTTTATTTTTTTGGGAGTGGCTTACTTCACTTAGCATGGTGTTCTCCAACTCTATCCATTTACCTGCAAATGCCATGATTTTATTCTCTTTTAATGCTGAGTAATGTTCCATTGTGTATATATACCCAAGTTTACCTTTCCATTCATCTACTGAAGGGCATCTGGGTTGATTCCACAATTTAGCTATTGTGAGTTGTGCTGATATAATAGTATGCTGTTTTTAAGTCCTTTGGGTGTAAACTGAGGAGTGGGATAGCTGGGTCAAATGGTGGTTCCATTCCAAGTTTTCCAAGGAATCTCCATACTGCTTTCCAAATTGGCTGCACCAATTTGTAGTCCCACCAGCAATGTATGAGTGTGCTTTTTCCCCCACATCCTCGCCAATATTTACTGTTGTTTGTATTCTTTTTTTTTTAACTTTTTATTGTTGGCTGTTCAAAACATTACATAGTTCTTGATATATCATATTTCACAATTTGATTCAAGTGGGTTATGCGCTCCAATTTTTACCCCATATACAGATTGCAGAATCACATCAGTTACACATCCATTGATTTACATATTGCCATACTAGTGTCTGCTGTATTCTGCTGCCTTTCCTATCCTCTACTATCCCCCCTCCCCTCCCCTCCCCTCCCCTCCCCTCCCCTCTTCTCTCTCTGCTCCCTCTACTGAGATTCGTTTGTCCCCCTTATATTATTTTTCCCCTTCCCCTCACTTCCTCTTGTATGTACTTTTGTATAACTCTGAGGGTCTCCTTCCATTTCCATGCATTTTCCCTTCTCTCTCCCTTTCCCTCCCACCTCTCATCCCTGTTTAATGTTAATCTTCTTCTCATGCTCTTCGACCCTACTCTGTTCTTAGTTACTCTCCTTATATCAAAGAAGACATTTGGCATTTGTTTTTTAGGGATTGGCTAGCTTCACTTAGCATAATCTGCTCTAATGCCATCCATTTCCCTGTAAATTCTATGATTTTGTCATTTTTTAATGCAGAGTAATACTCCATTGTGTATAAATGCTACATTTTTTTTATCCATTCATCCATTGAAGGGCATCTAGGTTGGTTCCACAGTCTAGCTATTGTGAATTGTGCTGCTATGAACATCGATGTAGCAGTGTCCCTGTAGCATGCTCTTTTTAGGTCTTTAGGGAATAGACCGAGAAGGGGAATAGCTGGGTCAAATGGTGGCTCCATTCCCAGCTTTCCAAGAAATCTCCATACTGCTTTCCAAATTGGCTGCACCAATTTGCAGTCCCACCAGCAATGTACAAGTGTACCCTTTTCCCCACATCCTCGCCAGCACTTGTTGTTGTTTGACTTCATAATGGCTGCCAATCTTACTGGAGTGAGATGGTATCTTAGGGTGGTTTTGATTTGCATTTCTCTGACTGCTAGAGATGGTGAGCATTTTTTCATGTACTTGTTGATTGATTGTATGTCCTCCTCTGAGAAGTGTCTGTTCAGGTCCTTGGCCCATTTGTTGATTGGGTTGTTTGTTCTCTTATTGTCTAATTTTTTGAGTTCTTTGTATACTCTGGATATTAGGGCTCTATCTGAAGTGTGAGGAGTAAAGATTTGTTCCCAGGATGTAGGCTCTCTATTTACCTCTCTTATTGTATCTTTTGCTGAGAAAAAACTTTTTAGTTTGAGTAAGTC